TAGTAATCATTTTGCAGTATATACATACATCAAATCATCACATTGTACACCTTCAACTTACATGATGTTATATGTCAACTGTATCTCAAAAAAGCTTGGAAAAAATGCTGATGCCTTGGGTGAAACCCAGAGATTCTGATTTAACTGGTCTGGCGTGGGGCCTGGGCATCGTTAGTTTTAGATGCTCCCAAGTGATTCTAACCTAGAGTGAGACTGAAAACTGCACGGATTTTACCTGCCTTGTTTGCTTTTACTAAGCTGAAAATAGGCAGTTTTCACCTGATTACTATGTCTCAGTGTATTTGTTATCAATGTATTTAATGAGTCTCCTAAATAGCCACCAAAATACAGTAAGATTATAAGAGGTTTAAAATGGGAAGATGGAGCTTGTAGCCACTCATATTCAATCTAGGAAAAAATTTATAGGACTGCTGATGTGGGTTTGGGGTCTCCTCCCATGAGTTCCCACTGCTTAATATAAAAATTTTTCAAGTAATTCAATCCTCAACAGGCTAAGAACCCTCACAAATCAGTAAGAAAAACAAATGTGGCAGGAGGAAAATGTGCAAAGAATATGAACAGAATGTTTACCAAAATAACAAATGGCCAAACATGACCTTTCAGCTTCACTAGTGATCAAAGAAATGGAAATTAACACTAAGATACAATTCTTCCATCAAATCAGCAAGAGTTTTTTTTTTTAAAGATTTTATTTATTTGACAGAAAGCGACAAAGCTAGAGAGGGAACACAAGCAGGGGGAGTGGGAGAGGGAGAAGCAGACTCCCAACTGAGCCCAATGTGGGGCTCGATCCCAGGACCCTGGGATTATGACCTGAGCCGAAGGCAGACGCTTAACAACTGAGCCACCCAGGCGCCCCTCAGCAGGAGTTTTTAAAAATATAAATATTCAATAGAAAGAACATAATGCAACGAATACACAAACCCCTGGATGCAATAAACTTAATATATTTTAAAAAACAGTTTGACAGTATGTGTCAAGTGTCTTAAAGTATTCATAGCCTTTTCTCATACTAGCAAAAACCAAAAACAGCCCAAAGGCCAAACATTGGGGAATTTATCTTATAGTTAGCTAAATAATTCAAAATCCATACATTTTAGGGAGAATATTGTGTTTAATTAAAATGTTCAAAACGCAATGTTAAGAGGGAAACGAAGATAGAAGTATACATAGGGTGATAAATTTTGTTACGTATTATGAAAGGCAACATACTCAAATGTTAACAAAAGCAGGATTGTAAATGATTTTAATCTTTTACTTCTCATTTTTCTATTTTCAAAATTTTCTACAAAGCATTTACTACTTAAAAAATTCTTTTTTATTTTTAAACAAGAATTAATTGATGAATAGTAAGTCTCTGCCTCAGAAACACTGTGAGGTAAGATAATAGCTTATCAGGGTGCCTTACAGCGCGTAAGTGTGTATGGTGAGTAAGGGGTACTGAGATCCTGGCTTCAGTGGGGCTGGACCTGGCCACATGGACTGAGAATTAGGTGATCTTAGACAGCTGTCCTCAACAGCCTCCTTGACATTCTCTGAAACAGATATTTTCTAAATGCAAAATTAGATTTTCTGAATGCAAACCCACCAAGAAAACTGACCCTTACCTATGACGGTGGATACTCTTTTTGGAACCTCAGTCTGAAGAGGCATTTATATGGTGGACTATTAAACCACACAAAAGCAGGTCATTATAGCCAAGACAAGATGAAGCCACCCTGAGGTTTACTCTATGCTAAAAACAACAGGTATGGGCCCCTGGGTGAAGTCGGTTAAGCCTCTGCCTTCAGCTCAGGTCATGATCCCGGGGTCCTGGGATCGAGCCCCTGTCAGGCTCCCTGCTCAGTGGGGAGTCTGCATCTCCCTTTCCCTCTGCTCCCCGACTCCTGCTCTCTTGCTTGCTATCTCAAATAAATAAAATCTTAAAAAAAAAAAAAAAAAAGTTATTGGAAAAACTTTTCCCTGCTGCCCATGTACACTGATGGACGTAAGTAAGTCTGTTCAGAGAACTGATTTCTTTAACTGAATGGAGTCCGATGTCCATTATTCATATTCACTAAAATCAAAATTCTCTGCAAGAGCGGACTTTACAGAACTAGATTCAACTTAAAGTGATTTTACAGAGAGGTGACGTCCCACCATAAAACTGCAAGGAGTGATTAAAAGTACAAAAAGGTCATCTATAAAGATAAATGAGATATTTGATTAAAAGCCTTGAATACACAAGACCACTACAAAGTATTTTCACATTAATATTCACTTCCAAATACTCTATATTTTTGCTCATCTCTAAGTCCCCCAAATGCAAGAACTGCCAGAATTATCTTGATATGATATCTCCAAACAGATTCTTAAAACAGCAATTTAGTCTCAAAAACCTCACGTAGAGAATGTTTCAGTGTGGATAATAAGTTGCCTGTCAGTTAACTGTTAACTAAAAAACAATCTTCATAAACATCTGTTTCCAGATATCGAACTCAATTAAGCATGATCATGCACTATAGAATACAGAAGTCTCCATCATTTTCATTCTTTAAAAGAAAATGCATTAAAAAAATAAAAATGAAAAAAGAAAAAGCATTAATTGTAAATTTGGCATAAGAGAACATTTAGCCTAATTCCTTCAACGTTTATGCTGCTGACAAAGCTTATAAATGAAGCATTTTCTGAATTACTAAATTAGTTGTACCTTGATGAAAAAGGATAGCAAGAATCTGTTTTCACTTTTCCTCTTGATTTCCATTCTGTGTAAACAGCTTGATTCAAATGTCAACATCCAAGAGATTCTGTCAGGCACATCCAGTTTAAGTTCACCTGAATGTCTATGTTGCTGCACTCAAGTCAGTTCATAATTTATCCAATCTTTACAATTTATACAACTTTTCAACAATTGCCCTTGCTATTAGGTTGAGTGTATCCCCTTCCCTGAAGTCATAATGTGACTCAGGAAACTGACATATACATAATTATTACATTAAAAATGCACGATGTAACAATTTTTTAGGGGTAGCAATACAGACAGCTGAAAGGAACTTCCTAATATTTAAACTTGGGCTGTTCCATCCTTGCTGCTCTGCATGCCCACTTATATGAACAGCACCTCCTGAAACTGTGCAGTACACACAGTGTAGGCAGTCATATACAGCGGCCCGGCACCTTACCTACCATTTGATTTTCCAGGGATTACCTTAGAAAACTGTACAAACTTTCAAAAGCCACAAACTTAATAAATGGTGTGAACGAGAGAAATTAAGTCATAGATTCAGATAACTTACTTTGGTGTTTTGGTTTGTATAAAATTCAGAATAGACGAGAAACAGACCACCAGTGTTTTAGAAGTTTTAAACACTGGTGAAAGTAGTCAATTAGCAAGGAGGTTTAGATAATATAAACAAAGCACACCTAATCTATGTAAGCCAAACAGGAGAGTGCCCATGAACACATTTCTCATGCCACCTCTATAACTGGGTCTATTTTGTTGTTTACCCACCTTCTTCTCCCTTTCCATAAGAAGGCAAAATACTGGGGCGGTTACATCAAAAGCTGTTTAGTGAGTGAAATTAAGCACTGTATCATTATGATCTTGATTAACAGATCAGAACACAGGACATAAGAATGCATGAACAAACAATTTTACAGGTGTTAATCAACCGTTCTAAAAAATATTAAATGCAAAACTGAAATATACCTAGAATCTGCCTGAGAACAACCCCAAAGTCTGCTTCTCTCATGCATTCAACTGATGAACTTCAAATAAACCCCCTCCCCAGCAATTTTAACACAAGGAACTACCAAAGGAATTCAACAGATATTAAAACAGTAAGCATTTCTAATTGTTAAAAACTCATATTTAATATACTATATGGATGAGACTTTTATTATAATAAGATGAACACCTATAGGATCATTCTTGTTACTGAGTTTATGTAAGTTTGGTTGGCTACAGGCTTAATGAACCAATATGATTTTTCTTGAAATATTCTTTGTAGATCAGCAATATGCTGTCTTCATGTATAGAAACAAACTTTTCAGAAAACTAAGAGAAAAGAACAGTCACCCATAAAATTTTAAAAACCAAAACCTCCCCTTCTTTAATGTAGCAATAAACAACGCTGTCATCATCTATTAAGTGCCAGGTACTTTATAAAATGTTCCTAATCGTAAGAGTCTCTTCAATAACGAGAATTCACCAATTAAGAACCATTCAGATCTCCTCCTTCTTCCACCTTGAAATCTCAAGACTGCCTTTGTAGTACACACTACCAGTCATGATAGTAAGGAAAAAGCAGATATGTCTAACATGTAATAAATTACACACTCTTACACCAGTGAGAGCTAGAATAAGCAGATTTCTATCAAACTTCTTAAAGCTTGGGAGAGTAAAGGGAAAATACTGCAAAAAAGCATTCTTTCCAATGCAAGGGACAACTTAGAATAGAAAAATGTACAAGGTAACTATCTCATCATGCAGTGAACTGGGGAAAAACTCATAAAACTACTGTTTTAGGAGGAACAGTTACTAGAAAACTTAAACGGAAGATAGAACATGTCATTTCAGACACCATAAGCTCGAGTACAGTGGCTATATAATAAAGCAAAGTGCCTATTCCTGAGGAGAATTTACTTAGTAATAATGCTGAACAGTGAGTACTAAACCTAAGCAGTGCTAAAAAGGCAATGATGGGAGTTCAGATAATGTGTTACAGAGAAAGAGACGTGTGAGAAATTCCATTACTTAAAAATAATCTTGCCCCTATCATTAACCATTTAAATATTTTTTTGCTGACGTGCTAAAGTGCACTGGAAACCTCAGAACAGGTTTTTAAAATTGGCCATGTCTTGTTAATACACTGCAGTCTTCAAATTTACACAGAGCTGCAGGTCTCCTGGATTTTTTCAAGTGTCACTCATCTAACTGAGCCTGACAGCTTAGAAATGCCATCGGTCGCTCTACAGTCAGTTTAAAAAACATCCTCTACCTGGTATCTCTGCAGTGATTGTCTTGCTGCTCCCTGAAACCTCTTCATCATCATCTGATGAGCTCGTGCTTGAGTCACAAGTCAGGTCACTATCACTGGTACTACTGTCCTGCAATAGGTTATACTTCTTCCGTGCAGCAGCCTCCCTTTTCTGTCTCAGTAGCCTGATTCTCTCCTTGTGCTTTTGGCTCCGATGACCTTTAACCTTGGCGACTCGGCCATTCTGTTTATCACTGGATTGCCGGTTTTTCTTGGCAGCCATAGTAGATGTTTCACTTTCAGATCGGGAACGCCGAGACTTGCGCCCGACGGTGGCACCAGGCACTCCAGAAGGGTCTCCTTCCACTGCTGTTTCTGCCTGGGAGGGTTCATTCTCTTCTGCAGAAGACAACGTGTCTGAATCAGCCAGGTGACCACTAGAGGAAGGGGAAAGCATGCAGTGATTAGAGGAGTCACTCTCATAAACTCGGCCAGTGGTCGGCTTGTCACTTTCTGTGGATGCTAACTGAGACTCAGAAGAGTCCCTTCTCAGTTCCATCAATAAGCAGGGCATTGAAGAAAGAACTGTAGAATCCACTACCCCATCTTTCTGAACTTGAGATTCCAGTTCTACAGATCCATCTTCCTCCTTAGCTGTCTCTTGTTCAGATGTTTTTGGTGGGACTTCAGACTCAATGAGTTCTTCGACTTTTCCCACTGCCTCCTCCATCTTCATTTCAGACTTTCAAGTTAAATCATGGAGCAGAGTTTAGGAAACTAGGTCAAAGATGCAACAGGAAAGCAACCTGTACAAAAACACACAAAATCAATAAACAGAAATGGAAGATTATGTAATCAACACAACATGCCTACCTTTCTAAATTAGTAGCAAAAGTTACCATCACACAGGCCTTTAAAATGTACCTGTCATCTGCTTAATAGTCAAATTCAAAGGACTCAGTACTATCAAAATACTAGCATACACAACTACTAAAAATGGCATAATATTAATCCTCAATTACTGAACTTGCAAGCCCAGCAAGGAACCAAACAAGGATTTTCAATTTTAAAAACGTTACTTAAAATGCTCAAGAAAGGGGTCCTCAAAACTCTGATACAGTTAAATGTGTATGTTCTGACTTTAACATATATGAAAAAGAATGCTTCAAAAAAACTAGTCTCAAAAACAAGTTAGCTAGAATGATTACTTTTACACTCAAATCCTCAAAGAGAGGACATTATAGTGGAGTAACATCAAATGTACACACATTAAAAAAAAAACCTTTCAATTATATGCATTTGGCAAATGAGCACCCAAAGTAATTGTATGCATCAAACCTATCTGCTATTCCCCTCAGGAGGAGTTGCTCTACAGGCGTATTAGGAGGCCAGACCTGACTATGCTGTTTCCTCACAGTCCTTCCTAGTTCCCACATACCTCTCATCAGGCTGAATGTGAGTCTAGTGTTTCAACATGTTTTGTTTCATAAACAGAGCCACTAAATACAGATCAACTACTTTGTGAACCCAGAAAACCTAGTACATTCTAGTCTATGAATGACTTAAGGAGTTTAAGAGAAAACACCCTACACAAATTTTCTACCTTTTATGCTTTTTTTTTTTTAAAGATTTTATTTATTTGACAGAGAGAGAGAGAGAGAGAGAGAGCAAGTAGGCAGAGAGGCAGGCAGAGGGAGAGGGAGAAGCAGGCTCTCCAAAGAGCAGGGAGCCTGACGTGGGGCTCGATCCCAGGACTCTGGGATCATGACCTGAGCCGAAGGCAGCCGCTTAACCGACTGAGCCATCCAGGCGCCCTTGACTTTATTTATTTATTTTTTTTAAGATTTTATTTATTTGAGAGAGAGAGACCATGAGTGGAAGAGGGGCAGAAGAGGAGGGAGAGGGAAAGGGAGAGAATCTCAAGCAGACTCCTCGCTGAGCTCAGGGCTGGATCCCAAGACCCTGAGATCATAACCTGAGCGGAAACCAAGAGTTGGATGTTCAAATGACTGAGCTACCCAGGCGCACCTATGTGCTAACTTTAGAACCTAACATCCTTCCCCTACTGAGTGTGCTACAACTCTACTTAATCATGGAGAAACAGGAAATAACCTTTAACTACAAGAGCTGTGACCTGTACAGAGCAAACTCCATTAACTGATGGTTTGGTTTTAAAAGGATGGTGCTAAGAATGTGCAAAGCCAGTAAATACCTCATTCTGTACATATAATGTTATAGAAGACAATTATCATGATTTCCCACTGGTAACAGACACAAACACTGAGCTAGATGGTGTGCTAATCAGGTGCCATAAGACATCTTCATCACTTCACTCTATCAACTCTATTACTTGACAGTTTAATATATGGTAGATGGCAACTAGAAGATATTCAGAAAATCCTTTTATTGCTCTAACATGCCAAGCCTACTTTTTGCTTACTATGAACATGAATATTCTATATTCCTATTTTTTGTTTTTCATGGCCTTGTTCTCAGCGGCTGATGAAACAGACATTCTGATGAAGGTTCCTCACAACATATTCATGAAAACCAGAACATTCACGGCCACTGGAAACATTCATTAATGTAAAACAATCCCATATGTAGCCTATTTCATATTTGCATCATTACTAATTTTTTACTTAAATGAAAAAAAGCATAAATGTTATTCCTAACACCATTCCAAAAGGAATGTAACACCTCTGAAAGCCAACAGAGGGAGTAAAAGTTAAACCGGCAAACTGCCAGTGTCATAACTGAAGCATGTTGGCAATACAAACAGGAAATAAAATATTGAGATATGAAATACCCCAAATATAAGGAATAAACCAAGATTTTGTAACTAAATAGAAACAAGAGTTGATTCTTCTGTAGAGAATGATGTTATATATTCCAGAATAAAAATTTTTCTTACAGCTGAAATATTTGAGAAATTACACTCAAATGAAATTAATGTCAGTCATAAAGCACAAGAATCAAAAGTCTCAAATTAATTTTTGAAAGGAGGCACTGGACCTTTTTGAAGTACATAATATAACATCAGGTGGAAAGGTAAATATGTTAATATGACCATAAAACTCTTGTTCGTTCAGTAAATAAATTGTGTGGGTAGGACAAATAAATCTAAACTGTTTTTCTTTGTAAGAAAACATGACATTATCATTGTCTTTCAATATGACAACTCAATTATCTTTCATTTCAAGATCCTTATACTTAACAGTTTATTGAGATCTACAATGACTTCTACTGCCTAAAAAAACAATTTTAATCACAAACACTAGCATCAACCATAAATAGGACACCAGTTAGCTAATAGTGATATGCCCATACAATGTGCCCATAAAGGATGAAAAAGTTCTTTAATACACTAATATGGAGCAATTTTCAATGTATAATGTTAAATGAATAAAAAAGGTACATTATACCATTAGTGTAAATAAAGTAGTATAATTTTGTTTTATACTTATATGTGAGTTCGTCTGTAGATGTACAGAATCTCTGCGAGGATACTTAAGAATATAGTTAACACCAGCTACTTTGGCAAGGAAAGAAAGCGAATGAGAGAACAGGAGTCAAAAAACCTTTTTACTGTACGTAGTTTTTACCTCTTGATTCTACTATCATGTACAAGTATTGCCTATCCAAAACCCCACTCAAACATAAAAGTCTACTTTATTTTTTTTTTAAGATTTTATTTATTTATTTGACAGAGAGAGAGAGAGAGAGAGCAGGAACACAAGCAGGGGGAGTGGGAGAGGGAGAAGCAGGCTTCCCACTGAGCAGGGAGCCCGATGCGGGGCTCGATCCCAGGACCCTGGGATCATGACCTGAGCCGAAGGCAGACGCTTAACGACTGAGCCACTCAGGCGCCCCATAAAAGTCTACTTTAAAGTCTTCTGAAGAAGAGGGGAGTTGGTACCTTTCTGCTCCTGACACCAACTACTGCTCAGGTCACATTTAGTCAGTGAAGGCTATTAGAGTCTCCCCACTGTAGTGGAATTTTGTCATAATTCATAAAACACAAGAAAAAAAAGTCACAGGAAGTGAAAATACAAGCTCTGACAAAACTCCCTGCAGTGGAATAAAAATAAAGTACTCTAAACACGGGGGAAAGATGTCATGTGTACAGAGTAATCCTCTCCAACAACCAGAGTATTTACTGTATATATTGTTGTTTTTTTTTTTTTTAAAGATTTTATTTATTTGACAGAGAGAGACACAGCGAGAGAGGGAACACAAGGAGGGGGAGTGGGAGAGGGAGAAGCAGGCTTCCCGCCGAGCAGGGAGCCTGATGCGGGGCTCGATCCCAGGACCCTGGGATCATGACCTGAGCCGAAGGCAGACGATTAATGACTGAGCCACCCATGTGCCCCTACTGCATATATTGTTTTTGGTCCGGGAAAAAATGTGGATTTTCTTGGTAGAGGTAATCAAAAGTAGCTGGCAGGAGAAAAAGATAAAACTACTGAATGATAGTGGCATCTTACAAATGGGATAAAAGGCTCTCAACCACCCAGTTTAATAGTAAATTCACAATGAAGTAATAATTATGTAACATACAGCATTTCTTTCCTTAGAAGAGCATTTTCCACTATGCTGTTCTTCCCTCCACTCTAAAGGCGGTCCCCTTCTACATGGATATTACAGTTAATCCCCCCTCATCTCCCTAGAGCCTTAGTGATTATTCTTCGGCATTCATCAACTTCTCACACTCAAATGGATCGTCCATCCATCCATTTACTCATTCATTTGAAAAAAATTCTCCTACTTACCGCCTCAACCTCTCATCTCCTCCAGAAACCATTCTCTTCTCACAACGTCATTAAGAGAGATGTCTAGGGGCGCCTGGGTGGCTCAGTCGTTAAGCGTCTGCCTTCGGCTCAGGTCATGATCCCAGGGTCCTGGGATTGAGCCCCGCATCGGGCTCCCTGCTCAGCGGGGAGTCTGCTTCTCCCTCTCCCTCTCCCCCTGCTTGTGTTCCCTCTTTCGCTGTGTCTCTCTCTGTCAAATAAATAAATAAAAATTTAAAAAAAAAAGAGAGAGAGCTGTCTAAATTCCCTGCCTCTATTTCCTTACCTCTCGTACTCCTCCAACCCAATCCCATCTGACATCTGCTTTTATTAAACCTGTAGAACAGTGCTTATCAGGGTCATTAATGACCCCCGTATATTTAAAGCAAACAAACAGTTTGGCCCTCATCTTAATGTCTAAGCAGCATTCTATGCTTAACCACTCCCCTCTCCTCCTTAAGCTAATGTTTTTCTTTGGTTTCCCAGGCTTCCCTTCTTCTGGTTGCTCCTTCTCAGCCTACTTTATAGACTTAACTTCCTCTACCAAACCTCGGGTGTTAGTCCTAGGACTAGGTCCTTCTCACACCCCTCAAAGTAACCCTCTTCTACATCCAGTTTCTTTTTTTAAAAAAAGATTTTATTTATTTGACAGAGAGAGACACAGCAAGAGAGGGAACACAAGCAGGGGGGAGTGGGAGAGGGAGAAGCAGGCTTCCCGCGGAGCAGGGAGCCCCATGCGGGGCTGGATCCCAGCACCCTGGGATCATGACCTGAGCCGAAGGCAGACACTTAACGACTGAGCCACCCAGGCGCCCTACACCAGTTTCCAATACCATCCCTATACTAGTAATTCTGTCTCTCCATCTCAGCTCTTCTCCAAGCTCTATACTAGTCTACCCAAACAGCCATTTGACATCTGCATTTAGATTTCACAAAGGCACCATAATCTCTTCATGTCCAAAACCAAATTAGTCATCTCTGAATTACCCCACTCTGCTCCTTCTCTAACTTTCCCTAGCTCAGTAAAAACAGCACCACTATGGGTCACCTGGGTGGCACAGCTGGTTGAGCATCTGACTCTTGGTTTCACCTCAGGTCCTGATCTCAGGGTTGTGAGATTGAGCCCCACGCTGGGCTCCGTGCTGAGCACAGAATCTGCTTAACAGTCTCTTGCCCTCTCCCTCTGCTCCTCATCCCTGCATGCGTGCTTGCCCGCATGCTTTCTCACTCCCTCTATTTTTTAAATAAATAAATAAATAATTAAAAAAAAAATAACACCACTAATACTTCAGTTGCTCATGTCAGAAACCTGAGGATTATCCTTGACAATGCCTTCTCCTTTACTCATTGCATCCCATCATTCACTAATTCCTATCAGTCCTACCTCATATTTCTAGCCTAGTATTCTCCATCTCCACTGTCAACCACTCTAAACACAACCTCCATAATTTATTTTTCAATAGAACGACCAAAAATCATCATCTCCTCTCTATATATATTCAGTGTTGCTCCTACCCACAAACCTGTGCTCTATACAGCAGACAGAACAATATTTTTACAAGGCAAATATAACATGTTTATAGAAAGGGTTTTTTTAGATTCCACATAAACAGAAAGTATTTTATAAATGTCTTACAAGAGTAGGGGGATGACCAAGAGGAGAGTAGTTCAAGGCAACTTGAGTTTTATCTGAGTTTCTCTCTCTCCCCTTTAAAAAGGATTATATGCAATAATTTTCAAAATCAGGCTGTCAGGGATGCCTGGGTGGCTCAGCCGGTTAAGCATCGTCGTCTAAGCATCGTCATCTTGGTTTGGCTCAGGTCATGATCTCAGGTTGTAAGATCGAGCCCTGCGCTCAAGTAGGAGTCCGCTTGAAGGGTCTCTCCCTCTGCCCTTCCCCCCAACTCACTCTTCTGAGCGCTTGTGCTCTTTCGCACTAAAATAAATAAATAAATCTTTAAAAAAAAACAAAAATAAAGGGGTGCCTGGGTGGCTCAATCACTTAAGCACCTGCCTTCAGCTCAGGTCATGATCCCAGGGTCCTGGGATTGAGACCCACATCAGGCTCCCTGCTCAGCAGGGAGTCTACTTCACCCTATTCCTCTCCCCCCTCCCACCCCGCCACTTGGGTGCGCGCATGCGCTCACTCTCTCTCTCTCAAATAAAGTCTTTAAAAAAAATAAATTAATTAAAAACAGGCCTTCAGTTCTGGACAATCAAAATGCAGCATTTGTTTTATTAGTCCTGTGTTCACTAAGAAACTAAGATGACAAAAGATGAGGACAGGTAGGAGAGCTAAACCATGGAAAGGAAGCAATACACTGCCCCTCTGAGACAGGGAAGTGGAAAGTATTAAGTGAAAAGGAGTGGAAAGTACAAAGTATAAGGCTAAATGAGGCTACTGCGAAAATCTGGAGGGAGTTTCTCTCATATCAGACCTTATTCTTGGTCGGCAAAACTTAATACAAGGTGAAAAGAGCACATCTGGAGGTTTGTGAAAATGGAAAAGGATTATAACACTTGCTACAGAAAATGTGAGGAGAATAAAACTGCTAAGCACAGTAATTTACATAGTGTCAAAAAGAATAATTTGCAATACTACTCAATTTCCACGCTAGGTAGGGACTATTAACACAAACTTAAGAGGAGAAGGTAGTGTGTGATTGCTCTTACCTGCTCAAAACCTCTGCCCACATCTCCAGCTTCATCTTGGGCCACTCACACCCTAACTCCTTCCAGATACAAAGAATGTGTCATGAATGGCTTTTTCAGATCTCTGGCCTTTCACACTCATTTTGTGCCTGCCCCCTTGCTGGCTACTCTTCACAGATATCAGAGTAAGTATCATTTCCTTGGGGTAGCCTTTGGTACCTTACTAATAGGATCCCTGTTATATACTGATTACACACCTATTTTGGGACACCTGGGTGGCTCAGTTGCTAGGTATCTGCCTTCGGCTCAGGTCATGATCCCAGGTCCTGGGATCCAGCCCCATATTGGGCTCCCTGCTCAGCAGGAAGCCTGCTTCTCCCTCTCCCACTCCCCCTGCTTGTGTTCCCTCTCTCATTGTCTCTCTCTCTGTCAAATAAATAAATAAAATCTTTAGGGGGGGAAAAAAAGATTACACACCTGTTTTCTTTCACAGCACTTTGCATAACTGTTACTGTTTAATGTCCATATTCCATACACAGGGACTTATAAAGGTTTAACGAAATAAAAAAATATATAAATGAAAAGAAATCACATAATCCCCCAGCTTATTTATCTCCATGATTATTAGGCAAAACAGACCTTAAGACAGAAATTGTCAAGACTAAAGGTGTCATTCTAATTTTCATGGCCCAATGATAAACACAATGGGAATCTATGGAAGTTCCCTCTGACTACAAATTTTTCAAGGAAGTAGAAAGCAAGGTCATCATTAAGAGTGAAGATGAATGAGGTGGTGTTGAGGCTGATCAGAAGACCAGGTGTGAAAAAGTATGGTGAAAATGAAGACACTAGAGCAGTTACAGTCTATGATTTTCAGACCATAATAAAGGCCCACTTTAAGGCTATAGCATGAACTTCAAGTGAGACTGGGACACACAGGTATGTTTTTCTCCTCTGAAATTCAGCTGTGTAAGTCTAAGCACAGAGGAGAAAGAAGCTGGGTTTAACCAGAATTCTAGTTTTACTAAGCAAGTAGATCGGTGCAAGAAACAAGAGTGTATACAAGGAAATGATTCTAATGATCACATCCAGAAGGTACAGGGCAGTGAAAATGCCCAATGAAATGGACATCCCAGTGGAGTCAAGGTACTATAGTGAACTGCAAAGAGAAGGTGGCAGTCCGAGAGCGCTGTGAATGAAATGGATTACGGAAGGGTTGCATTTACTGGTAACTGATGAGATCTAAAATAGTGCCACTTAAAGTGGTGTTCTTTTTTTTCTTTTTTTTTTAAAGATTTTATTTATTTGACAGAGTGAGAGAGGGAACACAAGCAGGGGGAGTGGGAGAGGGAGAAGCAGGCTTCCCGCCAAGCAGGGAGCCCGATGCAGGGCTCGATCCCAGGACCCTGGGATCATGACCTGAGCCGAAGGCAGATGCTTAACAACTGAGCCACCCAGGTGCCCCTCAAAGTGGTGTTCTTAAAGGACTGTCTGCAATGAGAGAAGTACAGAAATTAAGAAAATTGATTAAGAGACTTATACGGCAATTTGGTATTGTCATGACATGTCATGACAAACAGCATTTCAATTTCCTAGTAAATAATTGTATTTTTTAAAAGATTTTATTTATTCATGAGAGACAGAGGGAGAGAGAGACAGAGGGAGAGAGAGGCAGAGGGAGGAGGCGGCTCCCTGCTCCCATGCACCCTAATTAATTGTATTTTACCAAAAACATTGACCAATGATGGACTGGAAATAAAAATACACTGGTCCTGGAGCACCTGGGTGGCTCAGTCGATTAAGTGTCTGTCTTTGGCTCAGGTCATGATCTTAGGGTCCCGGGATCGAGCCCCATGCCGGGTTCCCTGCTGGGGGGGAGGGGGCGGAGGAAGTCTGCTTCTCCTTCTCCTGCCCCCTCCCCCCGCTCATGCGCCCACACAAGTTCTCTCCCCCTCTCTCTCTAATAAATAAATAAAATCTTTAAAATATATATATACTAGTCCTTCACAACAGATAGTTCGAGAAGCACTGGTTAGAGTATGACTGTGAAAATAACTGGCTGAGGTAGAGAACAAAATCATTATGAGAGAGTTCACAGAACTGAGTGGGCAGTGTCAGAAGGATCATCTGTGTATACTGTAATCATGAAGAATTAAGACAAGAGTAATAATGGACAAAATGACACTAAGCAAGGAACAAAAATCACCAGAGTCAGTGGTCAAAAGAGGACAGCAATATGGGGATTAATGGAAGAGGAAAATTATCTGAAAAGTGGCAATGAGGAACAAGGAAATCCAGGCCAGAGGAGAAGGACTGCAGGAGAAAAAAAAGCACAGGCATCCCTTGCAAGGTGAAGCTGTGCCCTCAGTGGAAACCACAGTGTTACTAGTGTAGGAAGGTGAAGGGGAAGTTCAGAGAGGAAGTTAAGAATATTGGTGATTTCGCTGATGATGAACTGAAGTAGAAATGAGGTGGAGAAGGAGGGAAGGGAAAGAACAGGGAATGTGCAGTGCTTTCTGAAGATTAGAGTGTAGGAAATAAGGGGTGACGTAGGAGTTT